CATGTACGCAGGTGCGTGGTCGCGGATCAGGTGCACACTTTACGTCAGCTTCCCTATATAAGCCTCTCCTCGATGTTTATCGAATGGACGCACATCATCAATTGTGTGCCCCTGTTTTGGAAAGTTGACGAGCGGAGGGGGGTCGCATCGACCCCTCCCCCCTGCCAGGCCGTGTTATGAAAAATGCCCAGGGCGAGGGTTAACGCTTCGTGCCTTTTCTGCACTAACTACTATGAAACGGATCACTGCTCTCTTCTGGGCGTCGCCCATCCTATCCGAAATGGCGAACTATGCTTCGAATAGAAGCCCGAATCAATCACAGAAGAGACTTAATTAATGGCCACTTACTTAATTTGCGTAAGTGGACATCCCAATAACACATCATTTAACACACCGCCTTGCAGGCCAAAATTCCAACTCCTTCATTGTTCGGCCCGAAACTTTTTGAACGCCCCTCGTAGTTATGAGCTTCAGTTTTCGGGGTCTGATGCGGTAATGACCTGGCGTTGAACCCTGGGGAATCAGGCTGCATCACCAGGGGCCCGGGAACGATTTTCAAGTTGGGGGGGCGAGCCTAAAATGCCTGACATGATGCATATGAAGCAGTGACGTAGTTAGGGGTCTAAGGGGACACGTACCCCCACCCCACCCCCCACTCATCGGGTTGAAAGGGACCCTCGGGTCCGAGAGGACCTGCGGTGCCATTTGACCGCTGAGGGTTAACGATGACCATATTTCGACTCAGAATGGCCTCATAGGTCTCGTTAGAGCACCTTATGGGCCCTAAATAACCACACTAAAATCTCAACAAGGGCCCCACGCCGGCTTCTGAGGGAATCTTGCATATTTAAGGGCCCCTCGGTGGTCTCCAAAGGCCCGTTACTGGCCTCTGAGAGTTCTTACCGGCCTATGAGGGTCCAGTTCTAGGGGCATTTCCCGCCTGTGATGGTCACACACTTATTTTTCCGAGGGTCCCATAACGGCAACTGTGGGGCCCTCATCGGCGCCTATGAGGGCCCACACCGGTGTTTCTGAGCGTTTCACACCCCCAACTCTGAGTGCCTATACCAGTGCCTTTTAAAGCCCTATATCGGCGGCTCTGAGGACCCAACAGTCAACACCTGCGCATCTAAAGGCCACCCACTGGAAACTTTTGAGGGCCCCACACCGGTGACTCTGAGCCCTGAGGGCCGCACCGGCGTCTGACAGCACCATGCCGGTCTCTAAGGACCCCACAAGACTTCTTCTGCCGGCCTAAGGGCCCCGTGCCGGTCACTGAGAACCCCCTGTTGGTTTGTAGGGGGTTCGCGTCAGCAGCTCTAAAGACCCCACACCCGTCTGTAACGGCTCCACATCAGCGTCTATGAGATCCCAGAGCAACGCCTGTAAGGACCCTCACCGGCGCCTCTGAGAGAATCACACTAGCACCTCTGTGCGCCCGAACCGGCACCTGCATGGCGGCCCATACCAATGCCTCTAAAGGCCCCTTACCGGCGGCTCTGAGGGCCCTATACGCCGGTGATTCTGAGGGTGCTACCGATAACCAAATGCATCAGACAAGCCCTTAGTGTCGCTGAGCTTTAATCCCATAGATACCGGCCTTCCGAGGGCGCCACGTCAGTGCACTCATTGCCCCACACCCCTCCCTCACACCCGGAGCGGGTAAACTGTGTTATACCTATATTATAGCAACGATTTTACCACCGTTGTACGTTATATATTTCTCAAAGTTTTCTCAAAATGGTCTAGTATAAAATCTGGCCTACCAAACTCATGGCCAAGGCCAGGCCCAAACCAAAGCGGGATGACAATAGCAGATGTTGTGAAATCGATACTGTATCAGCAGAAACCATTCAGATGGCTAGGAAAATGCCGTGTGATGATGTTTAGATGGAAAACAAGAAGGAAAGAAGTCCGTAAAAGGGAAGAAAGATCCTTTCACGCTGCCTCAATGTTGAGGGGGCGCCGCCCCCTCGGCTCTCAAGTTGGGGGGGCAAGCGCCCCCTCTGCCCCCCCTGTTCCCGGGTCTATGTGCATCACCCACTCAAATCAATATACCTATGGCCTATTCTGGAGCACCGCGGCACCTTCCGAAGTCGGTGTAGGGCCTCCAGCGGCTGGTGTGGAGACGGATCGAGGTCTATTAGGGGCGGTCGCGTGGTATGCGGGACTCAGAGGCAGTTATGGAATATGGACCTCTATAACCAATTGCGTTTTCGAGCCTCTTAAAATCCATTAAGGACCGGAGTCCTAGACACGTGAAACCTCATTGTCAGCCACATGCACCTACTGTGGCTAGAACCTTATTTATGTACTTGCATATGTGCTTATTTAATATTTGCTTATCTGTTTATTTTGATTTTTTATCAACTGATAAGTGACAAAAGATTGGTAGGGCTCAGCGAACATTGGTAGGGCCCAAATAAACATTGGTAAGGCTCGGGCCCTACCAGGCCTATACAAAACGACGCCCCTGCCCGGGATGCGTATTCGCAAATTGTATTACACGAATCGGCCAACCAATAGCTTGCCTCCTGAGTGACGTCAGCGTGGCGTCATACTTTCGGTCCTCGCCCTGGTGGCGTCTATTGAAGCTAGGTTTTAAGTTATTGACATTTAAGCCACACGGGGTACATTATCGCCGTGGCGAAGTGGTTAGAGTATCGGACTGGTGATTGAGAGGTAGGTGGTTCGAATCCACTCGGCGACTTCGATTTTCGTGTCATCTGTCATTGTGCGTTTTTTATACATTTGTAACGGCGTGCACCTAAGAAATCAGCCGTAGGCATTCTTCTAATGAATATGTTGCATAAGATACATATTTGCAGTCCAACCGATTGGTTCGGTTTCGGTATTTTCCAATGGTCTTTGTTTGTATTTGGTTTGGTAGCGGTGTCTGATTTTCTGTGATTGACATCACTAATGCATAGTGCATACTATGCGAACGTAGCCAATGGAAAGACAAATGGTGCTGGGCGATGGCCATTCATTGATCAATATTTCTCACTGCCAATGGGTGATAGCACGCAGCATTGACAGGGGCGGCGCTGACCTTTTGAAAGTAGGTGGGCACTTGGCAAGGTAAAGTACCTAAAAGTAGCGAAACCTAAGATGAAAAGTAAAATTCGCACGCTGGTAAGCAGGCTATTAGATAGCTTTTCGTGTAAGAATCACCATGCACAAAAAAAGTTCGGCATAGCTGTTAGCGTAATCACGGGACGAGATAATCAGTTTCCAGCCGTCAGAGCGTCATCTATAGGAGCTATGCCCTAACTATAACTTTTACATTTCAGCCGCCAGGGGATACCTAAGTCCTCTTACTTGGAATCTAGTTAAAGTCAAAAGATTTATATTAGACGTTTATGAAGATAACTTGGGACTGGTTGTTAAGTTGCATGCTCACGGCGGGCTGTCATCAATTTATCTCTATACATGTCTTATCTGATCGATGAAATAATACAGGAATCCGTTGTCATTCGAGTGTGTTTCATAATAGCTCTTCCGACTTTGACGAATATCGACAGTGCCGTAACAAAATTGGTAGTTCAGGTATAGACTGCAACTGCAGTTCTTTTGCAACTTATTCCTTAATCAGATGAACACTTGTCAGAGATTTATTGGGCGTACGATATTGGCGTGAGAACGTAGGGGCCAAAAATGCGCGTCTACGACCGACTTCTTTTTAAGAGAAAAGAACCGCTGAAGCAAGAATCGATCCACCGACCTGTCGTCCATCACACCGAGACTCTAACCACTCGGCTACGGCGAAACATTCATGACTGATAGCCATATACAATGCAAAAATAGTCTCAACTCAAATCTAGCCTCAATGCATGCATTGTCGCGGCGGATGGCTATGACGTCGCACTAGAGATGTCGCTAGTTGATGGGCCGATTCGTGTAATACAATTGGCGAATACGCGCCCGGGATCCCGGGATCCCGAAATAAAAACTTTCGTGGTCCCGGGATTGGCAAAACGTTCCGGGATTGCAATCTCTAACCCGGAGACAGACTTCGTGATGGTGCCCCCGGAGACTTCGGGATGATACCCCCTCTGCTCTCAGACCTCGGGATGCTGCCCTGAGACCTTGCGATGGTGCCACCGGAGACCTCGGGATGGTGCCCTCGGACCTTCGAGATGGTGTCCTCTCCGACCTTGGGATGGTGCCCACGGAGAACTCGGGATAGTGCCCCCGGAGAACTCGAGATGGTGCCCCCGCGGACCTCGGGATGGAAATAGCTCCACCCGAGGCGAGAGACAAAAATGGGCCTCACGGGAGACCCCGGAAACGGTACCTTGTTCTGATAGACCTTCTGGATGGTGCCCCCTAAGGAGACCTCTGGGTTGAAGCTCCCGTCGGTGACCTCCGTGATGCATTAAAAAAAAACATCCGTGATGGTGCCCCCCGGGAGGCCCGAGGGGGGCATGGCCCCCATGACCCCCCTCTGGATCCATCACTATTCACTGCCAAGTGCAGACGTCATGTGATATGTCATCATATGTCGGGTCATGCCCTTACATACATAGGCGATTTTTTATTGGTCGATCCGTCGATTTGTGCTGCTCTAGGCCGTAACCGTATAACACATTTGTCTTCAAAAAAGGGAAAAAAGATTAGCGAAAGTGAGAGGACGGCGACCGCAGCGGACCCGGCGCTGTCGCCCTCGCTGCTCCGTGGCCGCGGGCCTCTCACTTGTCAGAGAACGTACCCGGCGGCCGCGTCGCAACGAACGTGGCCGCTGACGTGCTGGCAGGCTTGGTAGTATATACTAGCTGATGGCCCATTAGTATGTTCAGGTCAACGTTCGAGTTGTAAGAAATAGTTTCAACTTTTGCCACAGTTCGTTTCGTTTTAAAACAAAGCAGTCAAATTTGAAAAATAGCTTTTGTATGTTATCGAAATACAATGATTTTGTTTTTCCATTTTCTTGATGGAAAATGTTTTTAAAACTAGAATATGGTATGCCACTGATTATTTGCCAGATGCGTGAGCACGATTGTGGAGGATCGCAGACGATTTGGCAGCCGGGCTTGACGGGTTGTTGTCTTTCGGACAAGCATAGATTGAAGACGGGTTTGAATAAGAAATAGTTAAACATGAAGTGTAATTTAAGTCAGTTGCTATGTCTGACTGTGCTGGTCCTACCTGCAGTGCTTTTCGTCGCTTCTCCTTCTGGTAAGGTTTACATAAGTCGGCGTGGCATCACCATCATAGATTGATAACTTCGTTTATTTTTCGCTGTTTTGCTTGTAGTTCACATACCTAGGTATATCATATAGGTAACAATCGATGAATTTGAAACAAGCTTTAGTTTTCTCTATTAAAAAACATTAAGTGGGTGCCCATAAAATGATATGTGGAGAGCAACAGCAATGGATATTAGTTTGTCATGTCAAAGCCTGCTTTTCCTGAACTTATTAATAGTTAGAGCTGTTTTATTTAGATGTAGTGCTGAAATGAAAAAATATAAAAGTTATGCTGAGCTCCATGCTAAAAAAGTGCTGGAGTTATATGTTGCTGATAATCTTGGGCTTTGGTAAAAACTGGATTGTGTCAGCTGGCTGGCCAGCTGACGACGTACAATAGGTATTTAAATATAGATATAAGCGAGGCAGTAGATGGACATAAATATTTCAAATGGCTTAAAATGAAAAATTGATAGGTAAATATTTATTCTTTTATATCTAGCATTGATATGTAAGAAGCTCTGATAGCGCCACCATACGGCGCCAGCTGGCAAATAATCCAGTTAATACCAGAGCCCATAATCTTAAGCTTTTGTTCGTGTGATACCTAGGTTCCTGCGACCTACCTACCTCCATTCACACAATATGAGTCAATCTTCAAAGAAGACATTTTGCCATTGTTTGCTTAAATTTTCCCTTATATGTATAAGCTATTTCATATTTTTATATATTTCCTATGTATTTATTATCATATGCTTACATGTATTTCCTTATATATGTTAGTGGAAATCAGTGTAGCTTTAAGCAGGTGTCACACTTGTTTTTTTGCAATCAAGGTGAGATGGAGAGGCACTATACCCATAGCTGCTTTCTAATCAAACCAAATCTAACCAAACCTGACCTAACCTTACCTACAACCTACAATTTCAAACTTAAAACCTACAACCTAAAAACTAAAACCTACCACCTAAAACCTACAACCTACAACCTAACATACAGCGCTTCTCCTTGGTTGCAAAAAAAAAAGTATGATGCCTGCTTTACTACTATTAAGATCAGTAGCTAATCAATGTATCAGTATGTTGTTAATTCATACTAGAATTAAGAACATATAGAAAATATAGCTGAGTTTATTTTATATTTAGTCATTTGGTACCAATAAAGTTAACTTAACCATATAATTCCTTATTTTGTCACTCTGTTCAGCCTTCTCTGATAGGTAATATGTTTTGGCACTAGGTGCCCATTTTCAAGACTGACAAGATGATGATCATTTTTGGATGATTTCTAGCAAAAGTAAAAATAGTTCAATGAAGTTGCAGATAAGCTCTATGAAAAGGTTTTATCTTCAGGTCTCTTCTTCACTTATGCTGACAAGTTCTGGCACTTATGCTGGGCCCTTACTGACTCAATCTGGATCAGCATTGAATGTTGTGTTAGTGTTGACAGTGATTTTTGCTGGAGTTTTAACACACCTGCTCCTCTTTTCAGGTTCCCTGCCCATTGCCCGGGCAGAGGATGACATTCAGGAGGACGCAGCTGATGAGGATGTGGATGTTGATGGTGATGAAGGTAAGTTTATGCTAAATTTGTATTTGTATTACAGTTCTGTTTTACAGCTGGTCGTGGTGTCAAGTGTGGGTAATTTGAAGATGTTTTATGTTTTATTCATTTTCCATCCATTTATTTTTCTGGAGCCAAACCCCATATCATGCTCATTTCTGACTTTTAGTTCTTTGTGAGGGAATTGTGAGTTATTTTCATTGATTTGAATTAAGTGTGCATACATTTATCCCCAAATACCATTACAAATGAGCACAACGTTCCCCGTCACGGCACTGTTATCGGTCTGTTCCAGCCGAGACCGGTGACGTGGCGGACGCAGAGGAGGAGGAGGACGACGGCATTCCGAAGGCCTCGCCCAACGCCGACACCACCATCCTGTTCGTGCGGCCTGACGTGGCCGCCGCGCCCGGAGCCATGGGTGCGTGCGTCGGAGCACCGCGCCGACCGCCGCCGGCGACTTGCATGTGTGCATGCGACCGCTGCTTGTTCTGAAAGAAATTTACTCTGCAGCTTTGATCTGCTATTTAGGTCTATTAACCCGCGCCCTGGTGGGGTCTGTTTATAACGCGACCTGGTGGGGGGGGGGGGCTATTTTTTGCCCCCCCTCGTATCTCCGAAACTACTGGACGGATCCGCAAAATTCAAACGGCGTTCGAAAGGCCTGTCAAATTTGTCGAAGGAAACCAAATTTCATTGACCTCGGGGTCACCGATGACGTCACAGGTCAGGTCAAAGATGAAATGTTTCACCGTTCACGGGTCTTCTAGGGAATGCGCTATAACACCGAGGAAAACGCATTTTGTCGAGAATCAGCGGTAGGGCGTCAGTTGCCTAGTAGATATATTGCTATTAGAGGTCACTGGCAATACCAGGTCAGGTCACAGGTCAGGTCACCAAGGGTCACAGGTCAGGTCACATGAGCCCAACTTTACTAAGGTTGTGTGATACATGTTTTATGGCCAATTTTTCATTTCCAACTCAATGGTGTTGGTTATAAGACTATCAGGTACGGCTTAGGTCACTTTCTGGTGAAGTCCAGGTCAAGGTCAGGTCAAGGTCAGGCCAAAAAAGGTCAAATTTTAAAGTTGATAGTTTTGCATAAAATGGGTATTGATTCGATGCAGCTCGTCACGGGGAGTCTAATGGTGGTCTTTGTTTTGCGCTACGGGGTCTAGAATTGCTAAAAATTGAGTTTGAAAATTTGACGTCATCAATTTTGAACAGTTTTTTCGCCATAACTTCGCCAAAAAAAGAGGTATCAATCTCAAATTTGGTATGTGGATGGAAGGCGGTAAGGACTATCACATTTATTCCGGTTTTTGCGAAATTCGAAAAACTTTTTGGATTTTTCTATTATTATATCCAAAAAATCTATTTTTTGATTTTTGGGGGTCAAAATCTAAAAATTTCAAAAATCCGAGATAGCAGTTTTGTAGCCCTGTCCAATCTACAGCTTTTATGTCTTAATCATTTTTCTGTATTTGCAGAGCTATAGGCCTGACAGCTCTTCCCGTGAAACCCTTTTTTGGGTCGAAAACGGCAGAACATGACGTCACTCTGACGTCATTTCCGGCCAACCTATTATAGCCTTTGGAAAAATTTTTGGTCACAATGTGTAAAATTGATGTCCGGGAGGGTACTGAAAGTTTGGTGACGATCGGCGCAGCGGTTCTGGAGATATATCGAAAAGTCTGGAGGGGGGGCAAAAAATAGCCCCCCCCCCACCAGGTCGCGGGTTAATGGATCCTATGTCTGCCAAAACTAATCAGGCAAGTGTCCTTGTGGTTTAAATGCTCTTCATTGCTACATAACTTAACATCCGCCGTACATTTGGACGGTAAGTTCACGCCATTTCCGAGCTGTCTATCACGAGTCGTGTGCACGACTCTGCGTGTTGCGAGTTGGGCTGCTGACGTCCCGCCCTCCCTCCTGCAGAGTTGCCCGCCGGCAAACTGGTCGAGTTTCTGGTCGGATTCACCAACAAGGGATCGGACGACTTCCTCGTGGAGTCCGTGGACGCCTCCTTCCGCTACCCGCAGGATTTCAAGTGAGCAATGGCATTTACTGTACGCTGTGTGTAAGCGCGGGCATTTTACCATGGACCAGACAACTCTTGCTTGCTTGGTCAATATTATTTAATGCCTACGTTACAAATAGGTTTTAGCTTCTCTGGAGGTTGCTTTTTCTCAGGGTGTTTCAAATGTAAAATTCAATAACAGACATGAATAATGGTGTTCAATTATTTTTTAATCAATATTTTGATGGCAAGTGTTGAATTAAGCAGTTCAAATTAATGTCCTAGCCAGCAGATGGTACCAATGCCGTCGTTTTGTCCCTTTTACCAACTGTGGGTCACTGTCGTCGCTCCCGCAGTTACGTGATCCAGAACTTCTCGGCCATCGGCTACTTCCGCTCGGTGAAGCCGCGCCAGCAGGCCACCATCTCGTACTCGTTCATCGTGGCTGACGCGTTCGCCGCCCGGCCGTTCGGCCTGCAGATCAACTGCGCCTACAAGGATAAGGTACGCCAGACGGGACGGACAGGGGGACGGGAGCGGCACTGCCGCCGTCCAGCAGCTCCCGGGTAGCCTGTCTGGACAGACATGCCTCGACAGACATTTGCAATGTATCCTATCAAGCAGAGCTGCTTATGCTTTGAGATGAGGCGCTTTCGTCTCTCTTCGAAGAATGCTGTTTAAATTACATTCCCAGGCAAAACATGAACAGTGTTATATTTTTGTCTGCCTTTGGTCGTTTCTTGATGCACTTCAACAGATCTCATCTTGCAAGTAAAATGCACTAATTAAATTAAAAAAGTTTTCTCGTTTCAAATATATCGAAATGAATAAAAATAATTCGAATGTCCATTATTGGATTGTAAGTAAAACCGATTTACAGAGTTCGGCAAAATATGAGGGGAAAATAATGATTTGTGCCACTATAAGCGTCTCAGACATTCAAAACCATACACCATCAGAGGCTAGCCCCGAAAATGTGCGAAGACGAGGTATTTTTTTTTTTTTTTTTTGCTGCTGGGTCCCTCCGTGTCGTTTCCCGTATTATTTCACGCGCTCACCGCTGGACTGCCCCTCCGCAGGCGGGCCGCCAGTTCGTCAGCGCTGTGTTCAACGAGACGGTCAACATCGTGGAGGTGGACGAGGGGCTGGACGGCGAGACGTTCTTCCTGTACGTGTTCCTGGCGGCGCTCTGCGTGCTCGTGCTGGTGGCCGGACAGCAGTTTCTGGCCGGCTTCGGCCGCCGGAAAAGGGGCCGCCACACAACTGTTGAGCGCGGAACAGCGGACAACGGCGGTGTGGATTATGACTGGTTGCCCCAGAGCGCCCTGCAGAGTGAGTCCGGGCGCCGGCCGACCGATACACGGGGCGGGCAGCGGGATGAAACATCATTAGTCAACCTACTGCGTCGTCACTTTTTTGTATTATTCCACTTTAATCGAAGTGTTTCGATTTTTGAACAAAGTTGTGTTGCAATTGTCAAAGCGACTGGTCGTGTGCCTGTATTGTACCCTTTGAAGTGCTGTTCACAGTTGACGGTGTAGCGTGAACTGCGCCCTCCTTGGACACGCCGAGTGACCCGCTCCGTGTCCCATTTCAGGCTCCAGTCCTAAGAACAGCCCGCGGCAGTCGCCTCGCCAGCGGAAGGGCCGCAACTAGGCCGGCGTGCGCCGCCTATGAGGACGGCTACGAGCTGGTGGTGTTGGAGGAGGGGGCCGGCGGCGGGCCGGGGCCCGGCCGCAGCTCCGGCCGGCCGCCGGCGCCGGTGACGGCCGCGCCGCGCCGGCCGTCTCCGGGCCGGGCCGGCGCGCGGCGCGGCGTGCCGCTGTGCCTGCTGCCCGCTGGCTGACGGGCCCCCGGCCGAGCGCCTTCACACGGCGACCGGCCGGGGGCCCAGCCGACAGACCAGCCACCTATTACCCTGCCACTCATCTTCCGCCAGGTTTTTGTACAAAGAAGATGCTTTCTGTTCTCGGCGTGTCTGCGGACACGTTTGTTTTTGGTATTGGGGAAGCGTGAACGGCTCATAGAATAAATGGTGTTAAAATGTCACTTTTTTTCGTACTCGTTCCGTTCTGGTAATTTATTCGGACATTTTCATTTATTTGACGCTTTTAACGGTGATAACTACCAACCTCACGCATGTTTTCGACCGTCATTTGACGCTGCTTGCTGTTTCAGTCACTGTTATAGTAATTCACTATGCAATATTTAATGCAATACACTATGAGCCGATTACGGAACGGTGGTAGTGTTTTGGGTGCTGGAAAAGCAAACCGGAGTTGTAAGGATACCGGGACTCGCTTCTTTCTTTTAGTGACTGGACTGGACGCAACGCAAACATGCCTGTCCTCATCGGCAGTGATTATCAGTCTGCATGGGCAGAAGGCTGTCTCTCTTTACACGTCTAGAGCAGCTGGCACGTTCTGGTATTACTAAAAGCCACTCAGCACTTCACATCTTTTTTTCAAATCGCATTACCTATGAACGTGTTTTTATTGTTCGTCAATGGTACGTGGACTTGCTGTTCATGCTAGCAGACACTGTAGATTGTCTGTCAATCGCTGGTGTTCAGGTGATACAAACAAACGAGGACGAGCAAGAAACAAGGCTGATGAGCCTTGCAGATCTGCCAGGAACTTGTTTAACAATCAGGTAGCTGAGGTAAAAACTTAGCATGTCTGATACCGTCGAAGAGCCAAGCATTCTAACACATTTAAAGCCACTGCGCTGAGGTCTGATAAAAGGGATGGCGTTGGCGAAATAAAATAAAAACAAAGGCACACACTGAAGCAAAACAGCGTAAATGAGGTAGAGTCACCAGTGTAGGTTGTCATCGCTCTATCGTTCTCACGTAGGATAAACAATACCTAAAGCAGATCTATAAGTTCAGGCACTATGATGAACTATGATCGCATGATACGAAAATGATACGCTAGCACACAGGTATATGTAGCATAACACTTCATTGGCGTATGCGAAAAAAGGTCTCTGATCCTATAAGTTATCACTAAGATGAAATAAAAGTCAATGACAGAAATAGGCACCAGGATATGCGAAAAATATAGCTCGCCAATTTAGACGTTTGTAAAATTTGCATCCGCTCCCGTTCCGCCTCCAAGGATCAGAAGGTGAACGCTTCCGATTCACGGCAGTAGCTAACGAGCAATGATCCATATTGCAAATATAGCACCGGCTCAGGCTGGGCTGCCAGTCAGTTGTTAGCGGGATGGAGGAGGTTAAGTGCCTATTCTGAACGAACGGAGGGATTGGGTGCGGCGCAAAAACAATGCCTAACATCGTCCGATGACACCTCATATGCAGTTTGTGCGTCCTACGCTGCGTTTCAGGCAGCTACCACGGCCTTATTGTCGGACCGTGGTCACCAGTTACACCCTGGCCAAGAGGTTCTCCAGGCCAGCTCCCTGCCGACCAGGAGTACACCACTGCTCCCTTTGAGGCCGGCCAGCCGTCCCTCGGGCCCATTGGTCACTGTCCGTGGCTCGGGGTTCACACTGAAATGGGTCCGGGCGCCGCACACGCTCGCCAGTCACACGGACATCGCTCACGACTCCCATGGACATCGCTCGATATACAGGCAGCGCTCACGATTCACACGGACGGGCGTGGGGACACTCGATAGCGACACAGTACTTCACCGCGGCACTGGAGGAGTCACCTGTACCCTCAGCACGGCACCGGATGGCCCACCCCATGACACCAGAGCAGGGGTGGACAAATGTGCCGAGTTGGGGTAGCACGAGTCTTCCCAATTCCACGCCGGCTGCGCCGGCTTGGCTTTGGAGCCGCACCAGACAGCGGAGGTCAAGGTCACCGCCAGGGCGGCGGCGGATTTGCTGCGCCCGTGCAACCCCAACTCGGCATATTTCTCCACCCCTGCACCAGAGGGACCGCCACACGGCACCAGAGGGCTCACCACATCCCCACCGCAGTACCAGAGGGAGCCACCGGCCGGTCTGCCGCTCCGCGTCCCGCTGTGTGCATTGTACCCTGTCCCCGCACCACCGCACCCGTCAGCCGGCGCCGGGTCAGATTTTCACCACCACGTCTGGCGCGGAACGGGCCGACTGCAGACTGTGCGGCCGCGTTCCCATCTCGATGACGGCCTCTGCGCGGTACCGGCGCGGCGTGGCGCGGCCCGAGCAGCCCCCCTCCCCTCTCCCCGGCACCTCCACCCCGGCGTGCACGGAGCGCGCCTTGGGCAGTGTCCGCGGCCGGTGCAGGTCACAGTGCAGTGAGCCGCCGTACAGCGGGCCTCCGCCCGGCGGCGGCGGCGGCGGTGGCGGCGCGCCGCGGTAGTGGTCCTCAGGGAACGGGCTGATGGGCGGCCCGTGCGGGCAGCTCCGCGTCGGTGGCGGCGGCGGCGGCGGCGAGCCGTCGCTGTCGTCACTGTCCCGCGAGTGCCGCGAGCCGCGCGAGGTCCGCGAGGCGGAGCGCGAGACGGCCGGGGCGCGGGCGAGGCGCGGCCGCGTCTGGATGGCCACCTCGGCCGTGTCGATGTCGGTGTCGACGGTCTCCTCGCGGACGATGCCGACGCCGCTGCCCAGGCTGCCGTTGAGCGCCGGCGCCGGCAGAAACTCTGCCTTCAGCTCGACACTGGGCACGTAACAGCCGGGGTCGGCGGCGAGCCGGCCGCGGCCGGGCCGGAGCAGCGCGCCGTCATCGTGCGGCCGCCGGACGCTCTCCTGTCGGCACAGAGCCACACAGGTCAGCCGCCACCAGCCGGCACCAGTGGGTCATACACAGCCGCGTCAGCCGGCACCAGTGGGTCATACACAGCCACGTCCGCCCTCACAGCCAGCACCAGTAGGCACACACAGTCACACGCGTCAGCCGTTACCAACCGACAGCAGTATGCTGGCACACACAGTTACAGCCGTCACAGGTCAGCCGTCACAGTGGGCTCGCAGTGTATCAGGCTCACTGCTCATAACGGTCACGAGCAATCGATTTTTTCTTCAAACCAAGAACGCTTCAAACTACGAGTTATACAAGTATAACGGTAAAACAAGTCGCCCGAACACGAAAACGCACGGCTCCTATAGATAGTAAGGTGCACATTTCGTACCATCGTTATCGTCAGTCGGAGCAGGGGAAAGTACCTGTGCGTAACATTCGTCAGTTAGGAACTGGTGATCCACTAGGCAGCGCTACGAGCTATATTTGTTCTCGTTTTCTGTATAATCGCATAACTGGCGGCTGGCGCCCCGACTTGCCTGCTTTTCTCTGAAGTCCTGCCTGAGCTTGCGGATGCAGTTCCAGCACATGGAGAAGCACATGCCGAAGAGCAGGCCGCAGCCGATGGTCATGATGACGATGTTGGAGTTGGTGGTGAGGAATGCCAGCGCGTGCTGCTCGCTCGTCCTGTCGCAATCGGCCTTCTCGTCGAGCAGCTTGTCGCAGTTGAAGTTGCCATTGCAGACCAGCGAGCGGTTGATGCAGTAGAGGTCGTCGCAGTCGAACTCGGTCGGCAGACACTGCTCTGAAACACGGCACGGCAGGCGACTCACGCAACAGGCCAGACGCTGCTCTGAAACACGGCACGGCAGGCGACTCACGCAACAGGCCATACACTGCTCTGAAACACGGCACGGCAGGCCAGGCGACTCACTGAGGCTAGACACTGCTCTGAAACACGGCACGGCAGGCGACTGACGCAACAGGCCAGACGCTGCTCTGAAACACGGCACGGCAGGCGACTCACGCAACAGGCCAGACGCTGCTCTGAAACGCGGCACGGCAGGCGACTCACGCTGAGGCAGGCTGTCCCTAGGCTGTCCGACAGTGACCTGTGCACTTTCCTTCACTGTGCAAACACACGATATCAGAGGGTCGATGAGTAACTAACTCAATATATAGAGACCATGGACGGCAGACGAACCTAGTCACTTTGGTTAACCATGTCCAATTCCATTCATAAGGGTCCATTGCCCGTTTGGCTATCGGCATGCGGATTAGAGGTCCCCGCGGCAGCCGTGTCAGTGCCCGACACATCTTTTATGCGGCTCTGCATCAGAGCTTCCCAAGCCGCCCAGTTACCATCCCGCGGTCGGCGTGTGCTACCTTCGCTGGAGCGCAGCCGCATCTCGGTGATGACGGCCAGGATGCGGGTCTTGGCGCTGACCAGCGACGAGCGGGCGGCGAAGAACCGGAACGTGACGTCGTTGTCCTGTCCCATCTTGACCGACTCGGCCTTGCTGCTGCAGAAGTGCTGTTTGCGCCGCAGCAGCAGCTCGGGACCGCTCAGAATCTCCACGAAATTCAGCTCGCACTCATTGGGCTTGGCCAGCGAGAACTGCTTGAAGTATACCTGAATCTGTGGAAACAGCGGAGGTCGATCCTCTGTAACCTTACGCAAACGTCTAATTATGCTCGTAAACGTTTACCCTGCGCAGTCCGCAAAACTGTTACCCGCGCCAAACATCTAACGTGGAGCCATTATTTATACGCCGCTTTGATACGGTCCCTCGATCATATTTTGCGACAAGTGTAAATAAATGTTTGAAAGACCGTTTAATTAACATCATTATTTACGTACTTATGTCAGCCGGTTGAAGCTATTAATTTGTTCACCCAATGCGTTCGATGACTGGATATTTAATTATTTCTATATTTTCTAAGAAAGTAAATTGTGTAGGTCATAGACCGGGCGCATTCAAATAACTAAACGTTTAAAAACAAACGTTTAAAAACAAACGTTTTTAAAAGATTATTTGATCATCTATAGAGATAGTTGAATTGGTCTGGCTGACCTCCTTTCCGGGAGTGACGGTGACCCGCCAGGTGCAGTCGATCGGCAGTCGGTTCCGCTCGGCGTACGCCACCGACTCCTCCGTTATGTTGTCCGTGGAGATGATGGCCTCCGGTCCGGTCAGCTCAAAACGACACCTCGGCGGCTGCAGCTGAACTGAAATCGGCCAGACGTGCGCCTGATTCTCCCTCCCGTTCTAATCAATAAATTCACGGTGCACGCGACGCTAAGTGACCTTAATCGCACGACCAGGCCATTTCTCATAACACGAACGACCAGGGGGGGGGGGAGTTGTTACGACCCCCCCTGGCGTTTCGAAACGGAAGGTCGTAGAGCTTAGCGGAAAAAACCAACGGATTGCTCTCAACGAGATCTCGCGATTGGTGGTATATTTTTTGGTCCTAGGTCAACATTTGACCTACTTTTGACCGGTCAAAGGTCAAATTTTCGGAAAAATAGACTTTTTTCAACTTTCGGCGGCGATTGCGGCAAAACGGTGGGAGATATCGACTTGAAACCTTCACTATCGTGTTCCTTGATCAATTCTCTATCGTTTGGTATGTATTTCGTTTCCCTAGCTCTAAAAATGGCGCGTTGGGAGCGCCGGAAGTCGGCAAGGTCACAGTCGGCGGCAGAAATTCGAAAAATCAAAATTTAAATTTTTGAAATCTGTTGTATTTTTGGATTTGGGAGGTCCATTTGCTCCCTATAGAAGCTAATATTGCTGCATATTCCCATTGAGGTGACAAGAATTAGCAAAATAGTGGTTCGGGCGCTTTTCAAAAATAGTACCGGACGCTGTTCCTCTTGTGACGTCATAGCTCCGTAACCTGACCTGACCCGGTCAAATTTCTTATACCATATGATAGCCAATACTTGCCCCAACATGCATGGAAAGTTTCATCACGATCCATCAACCGATGTCCGTACCACCGGCAGGAAACCTCGGGCGTTGGCACTCAGTTTGTGAAAATCCGGCCGGAGGCTGTACCTCTTATGACGTCATAACTCCGTGACCTGACATGACCCGATCAATTTTTTTTCGGCAAAAGATGCGCAAAGGTTGCCCCAGAGGGTATTGAAAATTTCAGCCTGCTACGACAAGCCGTTTAGCGTGCACTTCGAAAAAACCTCAGGGGGGAGGGTTGATACAACCCCCCCCCCCCCTAGGCGTTCTAGGGTTAAAATTATAGTCAATGTACCGCTATTACCCCGACCAGAAGCGGAGAGCGTTATATCTAGAGGGTCATTTGGCGTCACATAACATTTAAACGCTTGGCCAGCATAGGTATTCCATCATTGAGACAAACTTTAGCTCAGTTCTGACTAATACGAACGCTACGATATGAGGAATTCAAAGACAGAGGTCGTTCGATGTCGGCAGGGCTGGTAAAGTGTTATGTCCTATTGACGTCGCCGGAGACACAGTACCAGTAAAAGTTCAAGTACCTGGGGTCAAAATTACCACATTTAATAAACTTTTACAGTAATAAATAACTTTCAAATAAAGCAGAAACTAAACGCAAGTAAAAGATACCATTGAATCCACAACGTACCTATATCCCCTTTAACAAGGACATAAAAAGCCCCTATACCTAATACATACCTACAGCATGGTTATGAACAATTAGTAGCCACAACTCACTTCCGTTAACAGCAAAACTATCGTCGACAGTTGCTAACGAAAACTGGATCAAACTAGATGATCAAACACATACTAACAGACGCTTAGACACCGACCCCGCTGTCGGCTGTGCTATTTCAAGCGGGGTTGATTGACGACCAGTTGTAGCCAGCTATACGACTAGACAAACGACTAGATTCGGAACCGGGGTCAGACCGGTTGTACGTGGTAAATTCATGCGGGGTCGATAGTTTCTAGCCGTCGTCGTTGTGAGCTACCGATACAATAGCGACACCTATTGCATCTGCTCGACGATCGTAGCGCCCCCTACCCTTTCCGGGTTCTTCGTCTGTTACGCTACCCGCTGACCGAGTGATGCCGTGACATTTAATTAACAAACTGGAAATTTCGAAGCGCGAGTCTGGTAAGCAATTTAGTACATATGACTGCTCGTAAAAAAATAATATAGAAATGAAACCTAAGGAAACGCGCATCGTAGTTGCATGCAGCCTGCATACATGAATCGTAAAAAGGTCGGGGTCATTTTTCGCTCTCATTTATTGGTCGGGGACGCAATTTGCTTTTTTACCAGCCCTGGATGTCGGTCGAAGCTGCCTCACACTCTGTCTCGGGCGAGGTGAGTGCAAATACCGGTCTATGCACCACTTACCCTGGGCCGGCTTGAAGGCGTACACAGCCTTTACTACCACTCACCCTGAGCTGGTTTGAAGGCGTACACGGCCTTGAAGCCGTCGTACTCGATGGTCTCGTCGGACTGAAAGCTGAGCCACAGGTGTCGGCTGGACGAGGTGACCAGCCGGGGGAATGCCTTGCCGCACGACCGGCGGATGGCCGGGCTGTAGGCCTCCCTGCCGTCCCGGATCTGCGGCGGCCCGACGACGGCCGGTCAGCGCAGGGAAACACACAGCGCGGCCATCGCAGAACCGCAGCTCCGAGACTTAGAACAATACCATGAACCTTGCTTAGCAACCGTCTCTGCATGTAATGAATACGCTAGATTTCACGGCCTATTTCACCGCTACGTGACTCTAAAAATAGCCCGGTGACGGAGAGCGGCCGGCCGGTCGGACGGGGCCGATCAGCAGCTGGCGAGTGACGCGGCCGCTCTGGTGTTTGTCCCGGTGACTGGGACCAGGTGCAGGGCGGCCCCTGTGTCAGGTCGGCCCGGCGGCCCATCCGTCTGACCGATACCGCCGGCCAGTCGTCCCTCCCCTCCCCAACGGCAGGCGGAGAGGAGAGCTGCTGCTGTGCAGCCGCCGCAAGTAGCAGGCCAGGAACTGATGGACAGGGCTGAACGGCGGCAGAGCCTAAGGACTATACTCTCCAGTGGACAGGCTAAAGACCGCCTATATGTACTGTCCGGTGGTATGGGCTGAGAACTACACTCTCCGATGGGACGGACTGACTATGCTCTCCGGCTAAACGGGCTGGGAACTACATATAGGTACTCCCCCGGTGGACTACAATCTCCGGTGGTTAGGACTGTGGACTATACTCTCCGGTGGGACGGACTGACTAAACTCTCCGGCTAGACGGACTGTGGACTTGTGTCCGGTGGAACGGACTGACTACACTCTCCGGCGGGACGACTGTCGACTATACCTAGTCTCCGGTGGGACGGACTGAAAACTATACCCCCCAAGTGGGATGGATAGTCGACAGTCGTCCCATCGGAGACTATAGTCCACAGCCGTCCCACCGGAGAGTATAGTCAGTCCGTGCCACCGGAGACTAGTCCACAGCCGTCCCACCGGATAGTATAGTCAACAGTCGTCGCATCGGAGACTATAATCCACAGTCGTCCCACTGTGGATTATAGTCTCCAATGGGACGGCTGTGGACTATACTCTCCGGCGGGACGACTGTGGACTATAGCCCCCGGCGGGACAGACTGCGGACTACTCTCCGGTGGGACGGCTGTGGACGACACTCCGGTGGGACGACTGTGGACGACATTCTCCGGCGGGACGACAGTGGACGACACTCTCCGGTGGGACGGCTGTGGATTAATGTCTCCGGTGGGACGACTGTGGACGACATTCTCCGGTGGGACGACTGTGGACGACATTCTCCGGTGGGACGGCTGTGCGGTCACAAGCGCCGTCTCCGGAAGCGGGCCGTCGCGTAATGACGCCGGCTATCGATCGGCGGCCGGCCCGGTCAGACGAGAGGGAGGGCTGTCCAGAACCGGCCCGGTCAGACGAGAGGGAGGGTCTGTCCAGAACCGGCCCGGTCAGACGAGAGGGAGGGGCTGTCCAGAACCGGCCCGGTCAGACAAGAGGGAGGGTCTGTCCGGAACCGGACCAGAGAGAGGGAGGGCTGTCCAGAACCGGCACAGTCAGAGGGAGGTCTGTCAGATCAGCCTGGACAGAGGGGAGGGTCTGTTCAGAGCAGGTCCGGATGTCCCCCCCCCCCCTCGGCAGCCACTGAACGCGGTGTGCTCAGCCGTCATGCAGCCGGACTGAATCGGTGAATACTTGTACTGACATGGGGGAGGTGCCTGTGTCGTCGGCTTATTCTATGTACTCGTATGATGTGCAAGAGATATAACACAAAAACATACGTCATATACCCAACGGTGCGCAACTTTCTATTGGGCCCGGCGCTTGGCTATGGTTTGTCGCATGCCGTGCATATCGAGTCAGTATGCATAGAAAACTCACCAAAAGGTAGTCATTCTCGCACTTGGGGCTAGGCTCCAGATGAAACTTGTCCCGGAAGTCAATCTCGATGACCTGACCCTCGGGAGCTGGAACAAATGACGCGTCGCGTTCATGACTAATGTTTAACCCTATTAGTGGCAGGCTCCTGGCTACCCCTATTAGTGGCAGGGGGGGGGGGGCTGTTTACGACCCCCCCCCCCTTGATATCTCGAGATCTAACGGGCCGATTTTCAAAATTCAAACGGCATTCGATTTCGCTCAACGTGATCTACATTTCTAAAAAAAAATAAAAATTAAGACAATGTCAATAGGGGGTAGAGGGGGGTAAAAACGGACAAATTGCAGATACATTTTAGACTGTTTATCACGGCCAGGTTTCTGAACCAATCTTAACGCAACTTTTGCCGATCGATAGAGGATGAACCAGGAATTCACATGGATCCTAAAAATATGCATTTTCAAAAATCATAGGCGGATACAGATCATTGAGATTGGGGGTACACAAAAAGTATAGTAAATAAGGTTTTTGTTGGTACTGTTTCTAAAAAGGGTGGTAATGGTCTTGCTATGTTACAATTTTCTTATGAGAGAACGACTACAATTGTATTGGTCATGCATAGGCGGTGTCAGGGCACCTATGTTGGGAGGTAAAACATAACCCCCCTTTTTGGACGCCTGGATCCGCCTATTATAGCAAAAACGTGTCAAAAGAGGATGCACAATAACTTTGTAGGTATATGTTATCACATGACACCTTTCATTCACTGTTCGTAAAACTGGTGCATACGGTTATAATACATCATGGCATCGTGATCTTCGCCCAAATGACTCGCTTCACAAATTGGACCCCCCAATTCCCAGTGCTCTGGAGCCGCCGCTGGTAAAGTTATGAACTTGAAATTTTCAGGGAATGTGCCCAATTTAGTTTTAGGAAAAGTCAGAAAATTTCAGCATCGTAGCTTCAGCGGTTTCGGAGATATTCCCGAAAAACCTGAGGGGTGGATGAAAACACCCCCCCCCCCTGCCACTAATAGGGTCAAGGGATAGTTACGTGATATTATTTAATTAAACCCATTCTCCTAAACAAAAGAGAGCCTTCTTGACGAACTGCTGAAAAAGAAAATATCAATGATAATCATTAGCATCCGAGGTGTCGCCTGCATCGATCATTTTAATTTAATGGCATTAATTATTGAACCAAAGACCTCTATATACCGTGGTACGCAGAGGTCTATGATAGAACATACATATAACCTTAGACGATAAGTGAAAATATAAAGACGGTGACATGGACCTCTGCTCAAGGGGTTTACCCAGCAGGATTGATCCATGGCATTATTCAGCATCGGCAAATATCCGCTGTCTTCATTAGCCTGTTTGTACAACCCCGAACATCTATTGCAGATAACATCGATAGGCAGTCCGTAGCAGCGAGTCAGAGAGGCCATTTCAGCGGCAGCGGCAGGGTAGCAGGTCACAGGGAGACAGCTCCTCACAGGGAGAGGAAAGTTTTGTCACAGGGAGACAGCTCCTCACAGGGAGAGGAAAGTTTTGTCACAGGGAGACAGCTCCTCACAGGGAGAGGACAGTTTGTCACAGGGAGACAGCTCCTCACAGGGAGACAGCTCGTCACAGGGAGACAGCTCCGCACAGGGAGAGGAAAGTTTGTCAAAGGGAGAGGGCAGTTTGTCACAGGGAGAGGGCAGTTTGTCACAGGGAGAGGGCAGTTTGTCACAGGGAGACAGCTCCTCACAGGGAGAGGACACTGACAGTTCGTCACAGGGAGAAAATTCGTCACAGGGAGAGGACAGTTCGCGTCACAGAGAGTAGAGCTCACATGGAGAGGGTAACTCATCAGTTGACACAGGGATGGGGGACGGGTAAGCCAGCGCTGGTACCGGGTGGGTTGTTACAGGACAGGACAAATCGTTGCAAAGTCCATATCGCAGCGTGAGACTGAGAATCACTGACCCATACCAACAGATTGAAACGGCAACCGTAAGTTGTCGTAGTCATTATATCCCTGGTGAAATGGATTGTCATCTCTCGTCTTCAGGTATGCTGCACCCCAAATGTTATGAGTGCTACCGAATCGTAAGTTCAATGGCTTCATTTCGGAAACCGATGTTGTTTTCACGAGCACAAGATAGGAAAATTACGATGGTGCGTCTGCGAGGAACGCTGCCCGGGATGTCAGTAATGTGACGTGACGCACTTCCCGGCACGTCAGTAATGTGACGTGACGCGTGCCGTCACAGGAGGGGAGGCGGTGTCGTCTGTCAGCTGCTCCCGGTGACAGCTGACGGCCAATGATTGACGACCCGCGCCGGGCGGCTCAGAGTGACGGCTGACATGCTTCGCTATGAGTGCTCAGATCATACACATACCTAAACATGGGACAGAAAGAGAGAGAGAGAGAGAGAGAGAGAGAGAGAGAGAGAGAGAGAGAGAGAGAGAGAGAGAGAGAGAGAACCCCTACATGCGCCTTGCCGCGCCTTGCCGCATGTAAATTACATTATATGCGCCTTGCCGCATGTTAATGGCGTTGCATGGCAGAACTGAATAGCGATGCTTTATTCGTTCACTTACAAATAATGTATGTAAGCACATCAGGTCAACAAATCACCGTTCAATACGTCAACCTGATTTATGTTTAGTAAATTTATAACCAATGCTGCGACCGTCAACTCAGGCGATAGAATAGCTGCGAGTTTATGTATACGCGGCTGGGGATTGTCCCCTGTTAAATTCATGCTGTAGCTTGAGATGATGTTTTTTCGTACTCCAGCGTAGATGGGTAGCCATACGGCTTCCACGTTTGACAGTGATGACATCAGTCATCTTTTGCAAGCTCGTTAAAGATTTGGGCTGTACGGGGATTCGAACCCCGGGCCTTTGGGGGTTCGAATCCCCAAAGGAAAAAACATCATCATCTTTGGGAAAAAACATCATCTCAGGCTCTCAGTCCCAGCGGATAAAAACAACACCTAAGAATCATGCTGTAGCTATTGATTTACTGAACTTAAGGAGAAGCCTAAAAACAGACTCTGCAAAAAAATGATCATTCCGATTGATCATTTCGTTTAAGGCCTCCATATATTTCGTGCCTGTAGCTTGTCATCTGGGAGGGCCGAGGATTTTCACGTTGAATAGCAAAAAGGATGACTGTTCTCGACGGGTAGGCATTATCATTCGCCAGCAGCAAGATAAATGAGTCTGTCTCAGAAGCGAGGGTCGAGTCTGAGGAGTGCGACGCTGCCTCTGACCGAACGAACGATATATGTAGCTACTGATTCCCTGCGCTTTATAACCTCGAAGTACATCATCAGAAATGGTATCATTGCCTAAAGTGCGGCTGCATCCACAGCTTACAAAATACCTACTATTATCAATAAAGCGATAAATGAGGGCATGTCGTGTGTCCGCGTAGTTCTAGCTCCGGTCCTATGCGTCTATGCCAATTATCAATGGCCCAATGATCGGATGTTGGGTAGGTACACATCGCCGAGTCTGCCGGCCGGTGTTGTTATCGGAGTACACGCCGTCGTACGCCGTATGTACGTCACCACTGCTGACAGGTGCCAAACAGAGCGCTGGCTGCCCGGGCGCCGCCGTCCCCGCTCCAGAGAGCTGGCACCGGCCGCTGGCTCCGGGGACTTGGCGCGACGTGAGAGGACCATTTGGCCGTCTGCGGTCCACAGGTGCCGCCGTATCGCCGACACTGCCCAGCCACTCCTCCAGTACTTACATACAGCTGTGGATGTATGGCCGCTGTCCGGCACACATGCGTGGCCGCACGAAGTGTTGCAACGCTAATATATCGCAAAAGGCCAGTATGCGTGTGTGCGTGCCTAAATGGGAGAATGCACACGGCGAATGCCTACTTAGAATATTGCTCTGTCATGTTGCAAGAAGGGGCGCCGTAACACTGGTTTAACGGACCGTTCAGGCCACCGGCGGAGGAAGCCAATATCCGCCGGCACGTCCATAACCCAGCTGGTAACGAGCTGACAACGACCACCCCAGACGTACCGGGGTGCATCGAAGAGCGCGCTGCCTTCGTAAAACGACCGGCAGTGAAAGGAGCGGATATTGATATTCACCTTCAAGCTTAGCAAGGGTCAATCGGTGTCGTATTAAATGACAAGGCTCCAAAGTGCCCGTAGGCTTCGCTGCGCTAATTGATTAACTTCAATTCTCAAGTTAATTATCATTGCTTAGTTTATTCCTTTTACTTCATGAGATCGCCATGCCTATTAACCCTTGCCCGTTTAGGGGTGGGGGTCAATGGACCCCCTCGGTTTTCGCGAATAACTCGCGTAAAAAGCGGCCGATCGCAACGAAACGTTCAGTGCCTTCGCGTTAGGTATTCGATTTTACACCTACCCTGAAAATTTCATGACCCTGACCCAAATGACCTGTGACCCACTTTTCGAGACCATATTTTGCCGGAATCGCGACTCGGCGTATGTCGGCTCGCATTAGCCGCACGTCTGCAGTCTTTTCGTGGTTTCAAGCGTTCAGACATGTAATATGATGTTGCTCCCATGCATTAGGGTGGGGGGTCAAGGTCACCTGAAGGTCAGGTCAGGTTATTCACCTTTGATGACCTCGGCTCACTTTTTCGAGTTGTTGATGTTTCTAGGTTAGTTTTTGGAGCTGAATTCGAATTTAGCAACCATTTGAACATTTACGAAGTAGTTTTGTGCCTTCGTAACATGTTACGGAGCTGTCAGAGGCGGTTGACAGTTGACACCTACTACGAATACCCAGCAGGACCCCTACTGGGTGACCTGACCTGACCTGACCTGGCCTAAATGTATGAAGACATCATCTGTGATCAAAACTAACATGATAATCGTGATCAGTACCCCGAAAAGCCCCATGACAGCCACACTTTACGAGGTTCTAAAAGGTTCCGATTTTCCCGACATTTGGGTCATTGACATGAGCTGGAAGGTCAACCAATGACCTAGGACCTTAAAATTCGGTATCATCGGCTTCCTCTCGTGACGGAAAACACGCTCGTTTTTTTCGAGAAGCTGTAGCTCTATCAGGGACGAAACGTCAAGGGGGTGGTCCAACG